CACTGGGGGCGGGCTGCTGAAGGGAGGGTCACTAGGGTGGTGCAGGGGTCAGAGCTGCTGCCGCTCAGCATAAACAGACTAAGCAATTTCTTAAGGCCCCGAGCAGCTCAAGGGGGCCCCTTATTCAATTTTTACGTGTTGTGCGGGACCCCAAAATATCCTTGCTTAGGGCATGGGAGGGACGCGGGAGGCGGGGGGTGCATGGCAGGGGCGCGGAGGGAGGGACAGTGGGGGGGGGGGGGATGCATGTCAGGGGGGAGGGTCAGTGGGGAGCACGGGGGGGGTGGGAGGTGGATGGCAGGGGCGTGGGGGGGCGAGTCAGGGGGTGGCGGGGGGTGAATGGGAGGGGCGCGGGGGGAGAGTCAGTGGGGTACGGGGTGGAGGGGGTGTATTGTGGGGGGCAGGGGGTGCATGGGAGGGGTGTGGGGATCGGGTCACTGGGGGGCGGGGGGTGCATGGGAGGGGCACGGGGGGCGGGTCAGTGGGGAGTGGGGCGGAGGGGGTGTATTGCGGGGGTTGGGTCAGTGGGGGGCGGGGGGTGAATGGGAGGGGCACGGGGGTCGGGTCAGTGGGGGGGGGGCGGAGGGGGTGTATTGCGGGGGTCGGGTCAGTGGGGGTTGGGGGGTGCATGGGAGGGGCGCGGGGGGTGGGTCAGTGGGTACGGGACGGAGGGGGTGTATTGCGGGAGGCGGGTCAGTGGGGGCGGGGGGTGCATGGGAGGGGCGCGGGGGCGGGTCAGTGGGTACGGGACGGAGGGGTGTATTGCGGGGGCGGGTCAGTGGGGAGCGGGGGGTGCATGGGAGGGGCGTGGGAGATGGGTCAGTGGGGTACGGGGCGGCGGGGGGTGTATTGCGGGGGCGGGTCAGTGGGGGGCGGGAGGTGGATGGGGGGCGGCGGGGGTGTATTGCGGGGGCGGTCAGTGTGGGGCGGGGGGTGCATGGGAGGGGCACGGGGGCGGGTCAGTGGGGTACGGGGCGGCGGGGGTGTATTGCGGGGGCGGGTCAGTGGGGGGCGGGAGGTGGATGGGGGGCGGCGGGGGTGTATTGCGGGGGCGGGTCAGTGGGTGGCCGGAGGTGGATGGGGGGCGGCGGGGGTGTATTGCGGGGGCGGGTCAGTGGGGGGCGGGGCAGAGGGGGTGTATTGCGGGAGGTGGATGGCGGGGGCGGGAGGTGGATGGGGGCGGCGGGGGTGTATTGCGGGGGCGGGTCAGTGTGGGGCGGGGGGTGCATGGGAGGGGCGCGGGGGTGGGTCAGTAGGGGGCGGGAGGTGGATGGGGGCGGCGGGGGTGTATTGCGGGGGCGGGTCAGTGTGGGGCGGGGGTGCATGGGAGGGCGTGGGAGGCGGGTCAGTGGGGGTACGGGGCGGCGGGGGTGTATTGCGGGGGCGGGTCAGTGGGTGGCTGGAGGTGGATGGGGGGCGGCGGGGGTGTATTGCGGGGGCGGGTCAGTGGGGGCGGGGCAGAGGGGGTGTATTGCAGGAGGTGGATGGCGGGGGGCGCGGGGGGCGGGTCAGTGGGGGGCGGGGGGTGCATGGGAGGGGCGCGGGGCGGGGGGGGCGGGAGGTGGATGGGGGGCGGTGGGGGTGTATTGCGGGGGGCGGGTCAGTGGGGGGCGGGGGTGCATGGCAGGGGCGCGGGGGCGGGTCAGGGGGCGGGAGGTGGATGGGGGGCGGCGGGGGTGTATTGCGGGGGCGGGTCAGTGGGGGGTGGGGGGGTGCATGGGAGGGGCGTGGGAGGCGGGTCAGTGGGGTACGGGGCGGTGGGGGTGTATTGCGGGGCTCGGGTCAGTGGGGGGCAGGGGGTGCATGGGAGGGGCGCGGGGGCGGGTCAGGGGGCGGGAGGTGGATGGGGGGGCGCGGGGGGAGGGTCAGTGGGGGGGGGCGGGGCAGAGGGGGTGTATTGCGAGAGGTGGATGGCGGGGGCGGGAGGTGGATGGGGGGCGCGGGGGGAGGGTCAGTGTGGGGCGGGGGGTGCATGGGAGGGGCGCGGGGGGCGGGTCAGTGGGGGGCGGGAGGTGGATGGCGGGGCGGCGGGGGTGTATTGCGGGGGGCGGGTCAGTGGGGGGCGGGGGTGCATGGGAGGGGCGCGGGGGCGGGTCGGGGGGCGGGGAGGTGGATGGGGGCGGCGGGGGTGTATTGCGGGGGCGGGTCAGTGTGGGGCGGGGGGTGCATGGGAGGGGCGTGGGAGGCGGGTCAGTGGGGTACGGGGCGGCGGGGGTGTATTGCAGGGGGCGGGTCAGTGGGTGGCCGGAGGTGGATGGGGGCGGCGGGGGTGTATTGCGAGGGGCGGGTCAGTGGGGGGCGGGGGTGCATGGGAGGGGCGCGGGGGGCGGGTCAGGGGGCGGGAGGTGGATGGGGGGGCGGCAGGGGTGTATTGCGGGGGGGCGGGTCAGTGGGGGCGGGGGTGCATGGGAGGGGCGCGGGGGCGGGTCAGGGGGCGGGAGGTGGATGGGGGAGCGGCGGGGGTGTATTGGGGGGGGGGCGGGTCAGTGGAGGGGGGGGGGTGCATGGGAGGGGCGCGGGGGCGGGTCAGTGGGGGCGGGAGGTGGATGGGGGCGGCGGGGGTGTATTGCGGGGGCGGGTCAGTGGGGGGCGGGAGGTGGATGGGGGCGGCGGGGGTGTATTGCGGGGGGCGGGTCAGTGGGGGGCGGGGGGTGCATGGGAGGGCGCGGGGGGCGGGTCAGGGGGCGGGAGGTGGATGGGGGGGCGGCGGGGGTGTATTGCGGGGGGGCGGGTCAGTGGGGGCGGGAGGTGGATGGGGGGCGGCGGGGGTGTATTGCGGGGGGCGGGTCAGTGGGGGGCGGGGGGTGCATGGGAGGGGCGCGGGGGCGGGTCAGGGGGCGGGAAGTGGATGGGGGGGCGGCGGGGGTGTATTGCGGGGGGGCGGGTCAGTGGGGGCGGGAGGTGGATGGGGGGCGGCGGGGGTGTATTGCGGGGGGGCGGGTCAGTGGGGGGGCGGGGGGTGCATGGGAGGGGCGCGGGGGCGGGTCAGTGGGGTGCGGGAGGTGGATTGGGGGGGCGGCGGGGGTGTATTGCGGGGGCGGGTCAGTGGGGGGCGGGGGGTGCATGGCAGGGTCAGTGGGGGGCGGGAGGTGGATGGGGGGTGGCGGGGGTGTATTGCGGGGGGCGGGTCAGTGGGGGGCGGGGGGTGCATGGGAGGGGCGCGGGGGGCGGGTCAGGGGGCGGGAGGTGGATGGGGGGCGGCGGGGGTGTATTGCGGGGGGCGGGTCAGTGGGGGGCGGGGGGTGCATGGGAGGGGCGCGGGGGCGGGGAGGTGGATGGGGGGCGGCGGGGGTGTATTGCGGGGGGCAGGTCAGTGGGGGACGGGGGGTCCATGGGAGGGGTGCGGGGGGCGGGTCAGGGGGGGCGGGAGGTGGATGGGGGGCGGCGGGGGTGTATTGCGGGGGGGCGGGTCAGTGGGGGGCGGGGGGTGCATGGGAGGGGCGCGGGGGGGGCGGGAGGTGGATGGGGGGCGGCGGGGGTGTATTGCGGGGGGCAGGTCAGTGGGGGACGGGGGGTCCATGGGAGGGGCGCGGGGGGCGGGTCAGGGGGGCGGGAGGTGGATGGGGGGCGGCGGGGGTGTATTGCGGGGGGGCAGGTCAGTGGGGGACGGGGGGTCCATGGGAGGGGTGCGGGGGGGGGCGGGTCAGGGGGGCGGGAGGTGGATGGGGGGCGGCGGGGGTGTATTGGGGGGGGGCGGGTCAGTGGGGGGCGGGGGGTGCATGGGAGGGGGGGGGGGGGGGTGGGAGGGGCGCGGGGGCGGGAGGTGGATGGGGGGGCGGCGGGGGTGTATTGCGGGGGCAGTGGGGGCGGGTCAGGGGTGGGGGGCGGGGGGGTGCAGGTGGGGAGGGGCGGGGGGTGCGGGGGGGGGTCAGTGGGGGGCGGGAGGTGGATGGGGGGGGCGGGGGGGGGGGGGGGGGGTAGTGGGGTGGGAGGTGTATTGGGGGGCGGGCAGGGGGGGCGGGGGGTGCATGGCAGGGTCAGTGGGGGGCGGGAGGTGGATGGGGGGTGGCGGGGGTGTATTGCGGGGGGCGGGTCAGTGGGGGGCGGGGGGGTGCATGGGAGGGGCGCGGGGGGCGGGTCAGGGGGGGCGGGAGGTGGATGGGGGGCGGCGGGGGTGTATTGCGGGGGGCGGGTCAGTGGGGGGCGGGGGGTGCATGGGAGGGGCGCGGGGGGCGGGGAGGTGGATGGGGGGCGGCGGGGGTGTATTGCGGGGGGTGGGTCAGTGGGGGGGCGGGGGGTGCATGGGAGGGGTGCGGGGGGCGGGTCAGGGGGGCGGGAGGTGGATGGGGGGCGGCGGGGGTGTATTGCGGGGGGCGGGTCAGTGGGGGGCGGGGGGTGCATGGGAGGGGCGCGGGGGGTGAGGGGGGGCGGGGGGGGGGGAGGGTGGATGGGGGGGGGGGGGGTGTTTGCGGGGGGAGGTAGTGGGGGACGGGGGGTATGGGAGGGGGTGCGGGGGGGGGTCAGGGGGGCGGGAGGTGGATGGGGGGCGGCGGGGGTGTTGCGGGGGGAGGAGGGTAGTGGGGGGCGGGAGGTGGATGGGGGGTGGAGGGGTGTTGGGGGGGGGTAGTGGGGTGGGGAGGTGGATTGGGGGGGGGGGGGTGTGCGGGGGTGATGGAGGGTAGTGGGGGGGGGAGGTGGATGGGGGGTGGGGGGTGTGCGGGGGGGGTAGTGGGGGGGGGGGTGATGGGAGGGGGGGGGGGGGTCGGGGGGGGGGAGGTGGATGGGGGGGGGGGGTGTATTGCGGGGGGGGTGGGGGGCGGGGGTGCATGGGAGGGGGGGGGGCGGGGGGCGGGAGGTGGATGGGGGGCGGCGGGGGTGTATTGCGGGGGGGCGGGTCGGGGGGGGCGGGGGGTGCATGGCAGGGGCGCGGGGGGGCGGGGCGCTGAGCGGGGGGCGGAGCCGGAGCCGCCCCGCGGTGGCGGGAGCCCGCCCAGGGAGGGCCGTACCAATCCCCGACTGGAGGGAGGTGCAAGCCGTGGCCCCGCCCCCGCGAGCCGGGCCTTTCGCGCACGCGGCGGGCGGCTCCCCCCTGTACGGGCCGCTTGGTACATCCGCCGGACCGTACCATCCGCCGCCCCCGGACCGAACCATCCGCCGCCCGCGTCCCCCGCTGGGAGCGCGGCCCGAGCTGGCGGCGGCGCGGGACGATGCACTTCTCCGTCCCCGAGACCGAGAGCCGCGGCGGGGAGGGCGGCGCCGCCGCCTACGTGGTGAGGGGGCCCGTCCGGGTGTGTGTGGGGGGTGTGATCCGGGGGGGCTGGGCTGGGGGTCCGGGTGTGTGTGGGGGTGATCGGGGGGGGCTGGGTGGGGGTCCGGGTGTGTGTGGGGGTGCGATCGGGGGGGCTGGGTGGGGGTCCGGGTGTGTGGGGGGGTGCGATCGGGGGGCTGGGCTGGGGGTCGGGTGTGTGTGGGGGGTGTGATGGTGGGCTGGGGGTCGGGTGTGTGTGGGGGGTGGATCGGGGGGGCTGGGCTGGGGGTCCGGGTGTGTGTGGGGGGTGGATCGGGGGGCTGGGCTGGGGGTCGGGTGTGTGTGGGGGTGGATCGGGGGGCTGGGCTGGGGGTCGGGTGTGTGTGGGGGGGTGTGATGGCTGGGCTGGGGGTCCGGGTGTGTGTGGGGGTGTGTGATCGGGGGGGGGGCTGGGCTGGGGGTCCGGGTGTGTGTGGGGGGGTGTGATGGGGGGGCTGGGCTGGGGGTCCGGGTGTGTGTGTGGGGGTGTGATGGGGGGCTGGGCTGGGGGTCCGGGTGTGTGTGGGGGGTGTGATGGGGGGGGCTGGGCTGGGGGTCCGGGTGTGTGTAGGGGGTGTGATCGGGGGGGGCTGGGCTGGGGGTCCGGGTGTGTGTGGGGGTGTGTGGGGGGGGGGCTGGGCTGGGGGTCCGGGTGTGTGTGGGGGTGTGTGATCGGGGGGGCTGGGCTGGGGGTCGGGGTGTGTGTGTGTGGGGGGGTAATGGGGGGGGCTTGGCTGGGGGTCCGGGTGTGTGTGGGGGTGTGATGGGGGGGCTGGGCTGGGGGTCTGGGTGTGTGTGTGGGGGTGATCGGGGGGGGGCTGGGCTGGGGTCCGGGTGTGTGTGGGGGGGTGATCGGGGGGGGGCTGGGCTGGGCTGGCGGTCCGGGTGTGTGTGGGGGTGTGTGATGGGGGGGCTGGGCTGGGGGTCTGGGTGTGTGTGTGTGGGTGTGATCCTGGGGGGGGGGGGCTGGGCTGGGGGTCGTGGGGTGTGTGTGTGGGGGTGTAATCTGGCGGGGGGGTTGGGCTGGGGGTCCGTGTGTGTGTGGGGGGGTTTGATCGGGGGGGCTGTGCTGGGGGTCTGGGTGTGTGGGGGGGGCTGTGATGGCGGGGGGGGCTGTGCTGTGGGTCCCTGTCCGGGTGGGCGGGCTCTGTTCTGGGGCGTGGAGGCAGCTCCCGGGGGGGCTGAGTGCTGGGGGGCTGCTGTCAGTCTGCGTGGGGCTGGCCCTGTGGCTGGGGGGCTGCTGTCAGTCTGCGTGGGGCTGGCCCTGTGGCTGGGGGGCTGTTGCTCTGCCCCTCTGGCTGCCAGTTCAGTCCCAGCTTCTCAGGGTTGTGGTTGGGCCCTCGGTATCGACCCTGCCCTTCCCTTGCCCCCCGTCCGGCAAACGGCTGCCCCCCAGCCCAGGAGGAGCCGGGTTGTGGGCTCCCGAAAGCCCTGCAGCAGGCGGGGGGTGAGGACCCGTTGTGCCAGCTGCCTGCCCCAGTGTCCCTTGCGTGTTCTGAGTTACAAGTCGTCCATACAACCTTTGGATGTGGGGGGACAGACCCACCATGAAACTCCTCCGGAGAGTCTGCGCCAACGGACAGCCCTGCAAGCCCTCTGAATGCTTTTTAACGTAGCTCAGTGTAAATGTACGTGTAGGGGCAGCAATGCAGCCGTACCTGCCGAACAAGGGACTCTCTCCTGGGAAGCAGGGACTCTGGAAAGGATTTGGAGGGTGGGTTGGACGATCAGGTGAAGGAGCTCCCGGTGCGATGATGTGACCAAAAGCGCCAATGGGATCCTTGGATGCATAAAAAGGAATCTCAAGTAGGAGTCGAGAGGTTATTTTGTCTCTGTTTCTGGCACGGGTGCAACCGCCGCTGGAATCCTGTGTCCAGTTCTGATGCCCACGGTTCAAGAGGGATGTTGGTGATAAATTGGAGAGGGGTTCAGAGAAGAGCCACACTAATTCATAAAGGATTAGACGATATTCCTTCAGTCTGTCAGAGACAGACTCTTCAGTCTGGGCTCTTCAGTCTGTCAGAGACAGGTACAACATGATCCGGCGGCTGGAAACTGGAGCTAGACAAATTCTGACTGGAAATAAGGTGGAAATTTGTACCGGTGAGGGGAATTACCCACTGGAACAATTCCCCAGTGGCCAGTTGGTTCTCCAGCACTGACAATGCTTCCGTCCAGCTTGGATGCTGTTTAAAAAGAGCTGCTCCAAGAATGATCTGGGGGAAGTTCTCTGGCTTGTGCTATAGAGGAGGTCAGACTACAGTCATGGACATGTAGGACTGGAAGGGACCACAACAGGTCATCTGGCCCCATCCCCTGCACTGAGGCAGGAATAAGTATTGTCCACACCAGTGACACTCAGACCTCAGTGGTTCAGGAGCCAAATTAGCCATCAACATTCCCCAAAAGAGCCACAGAAGTGTGAATTAATCATTTCATTTACTATAGTCCTATTTAAACAGTATGACGGGGAAATAGTTAGTGTGTGTGTGTATCTCTAATGTTATGGTCTCACATCAAAATGACTGACCAAATACTATAATTTTATCAGCTACAATTGGATAGTAAAGCATCCTGGTTGGTTAATGACTTAGATCGGTTAATAATTAAATCACACAGTGTTACCAGCTTTGCCTGTGGGGGTACGCTCATTTATTAGGTTTCAGAGTAGCAGCCGTGTTGGTCTGTATCCACAAAAAGAAAAGGAGGACTTGGGGCACCTTAGTTAGTCTCTAAGGTGCCACAAGTCCTCCTTTCCATTTATTAGATTTCACAGTAACAGCCGTGTTAGTCTGTATTCGCAAAAAGAAAAGGAGTACTTGTGGCACCTTAGAGACCTTCCAATTTATTTGAGCATGAGCTTTCGTGAGCTGTAGTCTCTAAGGTGCCACAAGTACTCCTTTTCCATTTATTAGGGTTACTCTTCTGTGTGTGAATGGGTTTTTTTTCTGTAATTCTGTCAATGTGCTGCTTGTGTCACTTGTGTTCTCACACGGAGCTCTACTTCTCCCTGCTGCAAGTTCCCTCCCAGTGGAGCTATCCTGCAGGACCGAGGTTCCCCAGGGCTGGGTTCCTCCAGCCCCAGAATCAGACGAACACACCCACACACGTTAACAGAGTGCATCTGAGAGGACCGGGTCAATCAGCACTCCCAAGCTGACCCCTTAGGTGTCCCTGGGCTCAGCAGGCCGGGTCGAGCAGCACTTCCAAGCTGCCACCCTCAAATGCCCCAGATTCAGCAAGTCCCTGACCCCACTTCCACGTTACAATTGTTCTGGTCGTAACCCACTGGATGAGCAAACCCCACAGGATTTTGGGGCACTCCAGGGATCTTACTTTGGTATGAGGAACGTTGCTGCAGAGCGAGTGGGGGAAGCCAAAAAACACCCACCGGGGGCATGTGGGGGATAGAGAGAAGCAACCAGCTTAACCGTGAAAGTTATTTATTACCAGGTAATAACCACACAAGGGGAGCCAAACAAACAAAACAGGGATAATATTAAATCTCACTTAAATTTGATTATAAAAGTTAGGTTTAGAAAACTAGAACTGATCCCACCGGTCAGGGTCAGAAGACTAGACCGAGAGAGAGTGAGAGCTGGGTTCTCACCACTCCGTGAAGCTGGAATCGATCGAGGGTCCCAGGTGGTGGTGGTGGTGGTAGCTGAGGGTCCGGAGTGCTGGCAGAGCCCCCAGCATGATCCGTCAGGAGAAGATGAAGTCCCAATGGAACTGATGCAGATGTTGGATCCAGGCATCAGAACGCTTACTTGAGCATGGGTAGGGGTTTGTGTAGGGAAAGAACAATGGTTCAAGGGAGAACACTAGATTTGTTTATGCGTAAACTGTTGGCTCAAGGGAGAATACCAAAGTTGTTTTGTTCAGGCTAGACGATAGGAACTGATCATTCCTGGCTAAGGATGATGATCCTTCCAGGGAGCTCACAATGCAATTAGGCAGCTTCAGTATTTTGGTTACCAGTACAGGATTTATTACTAGAATTGGTCTGATAACTACTGAGCTGGGTGTGTGCAGGGGTGGGTTCATTAACACCTGGAGCAGAGATCCCCCCCCATCATGCAGTGCTTCCCTGCTTTTCTGGTCCCAGCTGCCAACTAGCCATGGAGCCATTGATCACTACCTGTTGAGCCCAACTGTCTAGCCAGCTTTCTATACACCTTTATTACCCTCCTCTTTATAACAACCTTTTATGTATTTGAAAACTATTACCATGTCTCCTCTCAGTCTTCTCTTCTCCAGACTGAATAAACTCAGTTTTTTCAATCTGCCCTCACAGGTCATGTTTTCCAAACCTTAATTGTTTTTGTTGCTCTTCTCTGGACTTTCTCCAATTTGTCCGCATCCTTCCTGAAATTAGGGGGGAGGGATAGCTCAGTGGTTTGAGCATTGGCCTGCTAAATGCAGGGTTGTGAGTTCAATCCTTGAGGGGGCCATTTAGGGATCTGGGGCAAAAATTGGGGGACTGGTCCTGCTTTGAGCAGGGGGTTGGACTAGATGACCTCCTGAGGTCCCTTCCAACCCTGAAATTCTATGAAATGTGGTACCCAGACCTGGACACCATACTCCAGCTGAGGCCTTAGCTGATCACAATGGTCCCTTCTGGTCTTGGAGTCTAAGAATCTCTGAATTCCCCCCAGCTAGGGCTGCAGTGAGCAAGGGACAAGGTGAGGAGAGAGGTACTGTCCCACTCTGACCCTTCCCAAGCCAGGGTGCAGCAGGACTGTTGGAAGTGGACCCCTATCCCTTGCTGTCATGTGCTGGTAGTGGGCCTTGAGCGTGTGGCCAGTGGTGCTAAGGGCCAGTGCATGTTACTCTCCTGGGGGTAACTCTCCCTGTGGGAATGAACTGCACATACCCCAGGGCCCCTGCTTTGGCTCACCCTCCCTCCTTGATCCGCTCTGTCTGTGTCGCAGGGTGCGACAGTGGGGTTGTGGGTAAGGTTTGGCAGGCAAAATCCCCTGCCTCTTTATAGGGTGAGAG